TGGGGTTTAAACTGTCAAATACCAAGTGGTCACCGGTGACCGCAACCTATTGTTCTTTAATTGTGTCTATAAATACGGTACTCGACGAGTTAAATAGACGAGCATAACTAAAACACTCATAGTAGTGAACTGTTGAGTTCTTCCTAAGTTGTTTCTTGCAGTTTGAAGTTCTTCTACTGTCTCTTTAAAGTTTGACTGTCTATTTTTCTGTCACATCTCTTCATAATATACCAGTTTAGTTGACGAAGTGGTTCCACTTTTTTACTACTACTGGTACACTCAGGCCGCCTGATGGTGAATAATCACTGAAGACTTGGTTCACCTGCAATACTAAAGACATGTATGCGTTGCGGACCATGCAAAAATTATCTAACACTTTAAGTTGTTATCTGTGAAGGAAACTAAAATACTGCCTCATTGGTCGAGCGGTCGCAAGTGCGACTGCCGGGCAAGGGGTCGGCTTCGATTCCCGAGTCGAGCAAAGTATTACTGGTTTCTTAAAATGTATCAGTAACAGCACGGAGTCTGGAATTGTTCCCGGTATATGACAATAAGCTCGATCGCCCCTATTACCTACATGAGACTTATAACATAAATAATGAAAGCGGGTGTTACATTGTACAGTAGCATTAAGTGCCGGAATGTGCACCTTTGCCTACCCTTTCCCAGAGATAAAAGGCGTGATGTTATGTAGATGTAGAAACTAAAATTCAAATATATAGTTTCTCCTGACGTCACAGACGACTTAAGAATGGGTTAGTAAGAGGCGTTGTCTCAATCAACTTGAGTGAGTCATATGAAATCTTTGACCAATAGGTCACTTCCTAATGCCGGTATCCGGGTACCGTTTGGTTGCAATTGATAGGTATTGGGACCAAGGTTGTTGTGTCAAGAAGTCTAGATATAGGTACTGTATTGTTTTTTTTTTTAGGTACGTAGGTAAATAATGAGGTTTTATTCGGACAGTTTATTTATTTGATTGTGTGGTTGTGTCAGTCTCTGAAACTTTAAAAGGCTTTGTGTAGCTGAAGTTTATTATTGAGGAAAGTTTGTGCGATACCCATATATTTAGGGCTAGAGAATACGCGTAATAATTTGAGATATGGTATGTAATGTACCTAATTATGATAGATACATATGTTATGTAATTGTTTTTTTTTATAACAACGTTTTATTTATTAAAGTTTTTATTTTACAGAAAGTTCACAATGTAAACAGTGAAACATAACATAACTTCACGGCTTTTACCCCCGGAGGAGTAGACTGAGGTGCACATTACGGCACTTAATGCCACTGTACAATGTAACACCCACTTTTCACTATTTATGTTATGAGTCCCATGTAATAGGGAGTGAGCTTAATGCCATATACCGGGCACAATTCCAGACTCCGTGCTACAACTGAGAATTTTTAAAAACCTAACAGTAATTTGTCCGACCCGGGAATCAAACCCGAGACCCCTTGCCCGGCAGTCACACTGGCGAACACACGGCTAACAAGGCAGTCAGTGAAATTATCTGTATAATACATATATATATACGTTTAATTAAAATTACTAGTGATAAAAATGATAATATTAGTATGAGAATTTTGTTAACTAAGATAACTAAAGGCTTAGTAGCCACTTGCGTCATATGCGAACAGGTATATACATGTTTAATATCCACGACTCATCGTACATATTAGGTAGTACGTGTTACTACTATTTACGTTCTACACACAAAGTATCCACCAACAGTTAATTACACATAAGTATATAAATATTGTTCTAAACACTAGCACGTGTACATAGCAAATGCATAGTAAAACAGCATAAATCTCCATAAGAATGTACACAAACGTCCATCTGCGCTCATGTCAGGCGATTATAATTTCTATCATGTTAGAAATAAGTTCTGATACAACGTATTTTATTAATTGGTAACGTATGTCGTATAAAAAGCAATTTAATTACCTTTAAAATGAGTGCATTTTGCTGTAAACGAAATATAATTTTTAAAGCTATAGAAGGTTAAATAAAATGAGAAAACGCTAGTGGCTTCATTCTTTGGTCCTAAGTGTAGAATACAAAGTAGGAACTAGGACATTCTAGCAAAGAATAAAGTCTCCTAATATCTAGAAATACAGGGTAAATATCAAAAAGACGAAAACCACAATAGGTCAATCTGGTTATCGATATCTTTACATAACGCATTCGACGCAATTACTAAGCACATTTCTATAAAGTCAGACACTAATGGTGCTCTATAAACCAGTATAACTTGATCCTTCACATGGATGAAGCTTAGTAAGCAAAAAGCAACTTTATGTAGGAAAACATTTAAGTTATATTTTGAATATCACAGCGGCTTTAGATTTTAGTAATGAGGTTTATTTTTGCTAACTATAATGATTTAGATAAGGAAGCTCTTCTTTAAGGTGAAATACTCATAAGAATTCTTAAAAGTGTAATTTTTGGTCTCTCTTTCTTATTATTGAATCCAAAAGTTGTCTTGACTGCTAACAAATATTCTAAACTGTCCCTTCGGTGGCCGCTCTATACTTACTCCATTATGGACCTTATTTCCGTTGATTAGAAGATTACTTTTATATGAACAGATGTTGTGGATATATCATAATCGGGGATTAAGAAGTTAATAATACTGCCTTGCAAAGTACTTATTACTGGGTTTAAAAAAAAACTCGGTAGTAGCACATAGCCTAGAAATGTGCCCGGTATATGGCAATAGGCTCACCCCCTATTACACGGGACTCATAACATAAATAGTGAAAAATGGGTGTTATATTGTGGAGTGGCATTAAGTGCCGTAATGTGCACCTCTGCCTACCCCTTCCAGGCTGTACTGTACTGTGCTTCCCCTGAGTGCTGCCTTGCACTGAAAACTAAAACGTTTCTTTGCTTTTTCTCTATCAGTCTCCTAAATTCTATTTAAGTTTAGAAGTTGTATCTCCATTTTGAAAGTTCAGATATACTGTTCAGATTCTATAGTTCATTGATTACAAAATACCACAGAATTTGCCAGAGATACTTCCAATGTAATTGTACTATTCATAACCAGTATAAATTATATATAATGGTGTTATATAATATGCTATTTCCTTGTGGCTATTTGATGGTAAAATGTCAGCGAATTCTTCAAATATGATCATTAGTGGATAATTGTGTTAGATTTGATATGTAGGTGCTTTTCGAAAGTGCTTGTCATGTATGCTGTTCTTTTATGTCGTATTATAGTATAGTTTCTATAACTATTACATGGGACTCATAACATGAATAGTGAAAAGTGGGTCTTACATTGTACAGTGGCATTTAAGTACCTTAATGTGCACCTCTGTCTATCTTTTGGAGATAAAAGGCGTGATGTTATGTTATGTATCTTCATCACCCCATTTCTGCTCGCTGCTGGACATAAGCCTGTACATAAGCAAGTCACTGATATTCCACTTTGTCCAAAACCTTTGTCTCTAATCATTTAGAAATCACGTCCATCTTTGAAACTCTAGAAATGAGCTAGAATAATCACACACCGCTACCTTATTCAAAAATCTAAATAATTTTATTGACAAGATTCCTTACTTAACTTTTATTATTTCGCATCACTACTAAAACAATTGATTTATTTAAACTAATCAGACTTTATCAGACAATACATATAGGTAGTCGATTTTAATGCATGCGACGTAAAATAGACTTTAATAACAATAGATACTGAGTTAAGATTCCCCAAACATTGCGTTAACACAATGCATTTTTGGCATACCGTCTTCTAGCATAAGAACATTCGATAAACAACGCCATCTATCGCGGATAACCTCAACTAGTAATACGTAGAGAAGTGTCAATAAACAATGTTAAACATTGCTTGCATGATTGACAGTCAATAGAGTGTGACAGTAACTGAATACTTATGTGAAACTGTTCGTCTTAAGTCTTGTTGTACCGTTTAAAATTTATAAGTTTTGTATTGAATCTGTTGGTGTAATTTGTGTCTATTGAGATACCAATTACATGAGAGAAATTCATGTAGGATATACCTTATATATATAGTCTTGGACTGTTTTATTCCTTGTTTTTAAAACTTTAGGTTTAATTTTGAACCTGTGATTTTAAACAAAAGTTCAATAGTACATCTTATATCACGCAAGACTAGACAGTTCTATTTCAAAACATGAGTTGAATGATGGTTTTAATTTCTCAATGCATTCAGTCCCAGAAAAATGTTATTGAACACATGGAATTAATCTTTAATTGAAAAAACTTATTTAAACCTAATCATGACATGATCCTATCTCAGAACCTCTCCAATAACTTTCAAAGTACAAATTAATAAGCACTTTCAAAAACTGGCTTCCATTAACGCATTTGGCGCCCTCTACGCAACGCAGGATGTGTAACAAGGAACAACTGTGCAAGTTGTAACTCGATCGTGAAGGAAATCGTTGTGTTTCACCATCAATTATGATTCTGTATTATTTGTTATGGATAGGAATGTTGCTTGCGAATTTCTATGCTATTTCTGCTTAGTGGGAGGTCTTAACTTTTAGTTTTAATAGAAAGTTGAACTTTTCTTTCAATACTATCGTAAATTATTATACTTAATCACATGATTAAGTTGGCAAATTTCTATACGGTCGGGAACTTGTGTCAACTTGGTAAATTCGTGACCTCTGGCTGTTGTTGCAGATTTAACTATAAAATTAACTAAAAATCACGGGTTACTCACGTGAATATACTGCGAAAAGCTCTACTAGTTTTGAACCACAGAGAGGTTCTTCCTCATGAGCAGCGAGCGCGGTCGCGGTGATGTCGCGCAGCCTACTGTTGCAGATTTGTTTAGATTAAGTGAACTTTTAGTGATTACAAACTTTTAACTATGTTCTTATAATTATCTTCCATATCTAGAAACCCACAATTGAGTTCTTCAAATTTCCTGATCTGCCGATTTAGACCACTTACCGATCTTCCACCTTTCTAACCAAATCATCTCTCTTGTCCACAGTGGATAACGCCGGAAGAATGTGCAGTGTACAGCAGAGACCAGAGGCCGCCCCTGGTCATCCCACGCATCACGCAGTACAGGAACCCTAGACCGAGGGCACAGCCCTTTGGACAAGGGTACCATGAGGTAAGGAATACTAATAATTCTAATTTTTATAGAGATTTAAAGATTTCTAGGTCAAATAACATGGTTTTTGATAATTTCAAAAAAATCAAAATTCAAAGTTAAACTAAAAAGCCTGTAATTGTGGCCGGTAATAATAGACTCTACTTCGATCGAATCGAACATTCCTGTAAAGTGGGTTGCCCCTTGGCTTCTTCGACTAACTGTACTTAAAGACTAAGATATTCTTACTTCTTGGACGTCGTCCTCATTGGTTCAGTAGTTGAAAAGTGCTGTTGCGAATCAATGGTCTATCTTGGACTGCGTACGATTTGCTGTGTTAAAGTTATTAGTACCTCTAGATTCGAGTTTTTACCAAAAAGTATTTCTGAACTTTTAATCTTCTTCACCTTCCCATTTGCCTGTATACTAAAAGGCTACTCAGTTATAAGTTGTCAGTTACAACTTAAATATCGTGCCATCTCTGTCATTTGACAAAGAATTTCTATTGTATTATGCAGAGTATTCAGACATTACATACATGAAAGATTCCTACCATGCTCTTCATCATCATCAGCCTGTATTCGTCCACTGCTGGACATAGGTCTCTCCATGCTCTTATATATTTCAAATTATTTAAACAAAGTTCATGTCCCTTCACCATTGCAACACGCGACCACACGAAGAGGTATATTTAGCTAATGCGAAGCGATAAGGCAGTGATAACGTAGTGACTATGTTGCATTCCTTAGTGCATTGTGCAAGGTAGACTAAACTGCCATAGAATAAATAATAATTCGTACATACAAAGTTATTTAGTTTGATGAAACCAACAGTAGACTATAGGTACCTATCTATTGCGTGTTCTTGGAAAATGCTCCAAAAGTAGCTTTCTGAATCAGAATTCTTGCCTGGGTTTTTTGAGTACAAACTCTTTGTAATAGCATTGACGCTTATGCACACTATTTCCAATTGTCCCTTATGCCCTATTAACACATGGGATATATAACGAAAAAAATGCATTAACTATGGACTGTCTTCGTCTTTAATATGGGAAAGGATACCTCCTCACAATGTCACTGTTACAACAACTGTAATAACTATAAAATATACAAACCACTAGGCATTAACAATAACAGTTTACCAAGGGCAGCTAATTTTATTTTACCTGGTCCTAGATAGCAATAAATTAAAAACTACAACGCTTCTAAACTAGGTCATGATACAACGACACCTGAACAAAACAACTACATACAAAACTCGCTAGATGGCGCTATAACAGGTTTTCAACAAGGATAAAATATTATAAAAAGCCAGCCAGTGTTAAATGGGAACAAAATTAATTTTCCTCATAATTTAATGAAGAGACAAACAAAATAAAAGCGTTGAGTGAGTCACCGGGGTACGGGGCCATAGTGCTGTGTTAATTTGTTCGATTAATTCTTGTCCCGCTGTTAAATTATGCGCAAGCGCACAATGTGTTGTTCACCCGTACTAATATGGCGGCTTATGAAGTAAGTTGTGTGCCGTAGGACAAGTCTGGAAGTTATTAGTATCGTTTAAATTTAGTAGCCCCACTACTATATGTCGTCATCATAATCAATAATTCTCTTCTGGATGAGCTTCCTCTTCATGAGAGAGTTAGTCAATGGTCACTCATAATATCCATGCTTCGTAGGTGGGTTCGAGATAGTAATTTGAACGGTTCAGGTTTAATAAAGATCGCTGCTGCTAAGTCTTTGGCAAATGCCTTTCCTCCTTTTTTTAATGTGTAAAATTATTCAATGACTTCTCCCGCCTTATGACAAGTCGAGAGAGTGTCAGAAACGTCCATGGTAATCTCTACCGTCACCAAACCGTCAACCTCCTTCGCATAATCGCTTCGCATGAATCATGGTACTTCTGCAAATAAAACTGTACATTGTTCAAAATGTTATATGGCGTTCCTTGACCAATAGCGTGCATCCGGCGCGCCCTTCATGTCAATGTATCGATTCAATGCGCACGATTCATTTGCAAAATTCAAATGGACTAAAGTTTTCAATGAAAACTGACGTCAGAACTGATTTATATTTCACATTTTATTCGCATACTGAGAATTGAGATGTGTGCTTTTGTTAAAGATATTTGTTGTTTTAACATATTCATTTTACGTACAAAAGAAGAAAAACAATCAAAGATAAAATGACTTTTATGGGATGGTCATGAAAGAATGATGAAGTGGTGTCTGTGAATGAAAGATGTGACTCCCTTTTTTGCTTAGTCATTTTATTTCTTCTACGTGACGTGGGTATTGTTGATTGGACATAAAGGAGTTTGGTTGCTAACCTAATTAATTATAGAAACAGCAGAACAACGACAAACAACTATAGTAGTTATAACACAATTTTTATTCCTTCTGACGTGACTATGAATTTTGTCATAGAACTTACGAATATATGAGGGTCTAAACACTGAAATGATACAGCAACATCTATTATAGCTACTTCTATATATTATAACATACATAAAGTACTTATAAAAGTAATGACATACGTAGATGCTTATAATAAAATTCGTTTAGTCTATCTGAGAATCTATAAAACTGCTTTTAAATGAATAGGGTAATAGAAAACAATTAAGCTAGACATAAGAGACATAAGTATGTTATCAATCAACAACCCATAACAGTTGATTGCTAGACTATTAATCTCCTCTACATAAGAGGGTTTCCCATAATGGTCCTCGCTTAGTACGTAAAATGAAGACCGCAATCTAAAGGGTTCTGGGGGCTTACTCTTGAATCCAATCCCGATCGTCGCGGAGAACCTAACGGGTTACCGGGGCTCCGGCTCGATGTGCAGGAGAAGGAACGGGGTGGTTTTTAGTCAGTAAGAGTCTGACACTTCCTCCCGCCTCACCCAGGCGGGAGCAGTCATTCGATGATTTTCCCCATTAAAAAAAAATCCCGATATATCGACATTTGTATTGTGAAATTTCGTACTCTTGAGTTGCAATAGTAGCGCCCATTGCATCTGTATTGCGTGGCTATTGAATGAACTAAATGGTATTGAGTTTGGCTTTATATTCCGAACTCTGAATGCAATTGTAACAGCTATGATTGGGGTTGTAAAGTTTTGACATTGAATAATTATTGAGATTTTATTGGATTAAAATTGCATTGACATTGAGATTGGTTTCAAGAGTAAGCACCCTGGTTTATTAAAATGTGCTGCTTTTGTCTGCTACTCTGTCAATGTAGTTCTTTGCTGCAGAAATTAATGAATCTTAGTTTTTGAAAAAGTCTATAATATCTACAATTTTAAAGTCAAAAATAGATTTTAAACTAAAGATTTTGAATTGGTCACTAATTTTGGCTATTGTGACATCTACGTGTACAGTAGAGATGGTGAAATATTCTTGTATTGTCATCAAATATCCATAAAACTCGAAAGATATAGAACTAATGAAGTGTTTAATAAATAGAAAACAAAGCGAGACGTGTATAGAGGATTCTATTCAGACTGTGTAATAGTATGCATGCTGTAGTTATATTTTGCATATTAATCGTATGAAACGCATTATTAATATGTACAGCGTATGCTTAAATAGTTGTTTAGATATGAGTATTGAATGTGAATACTTGATGTAAATACATACATACGTAATACCACTCCTTTTATCCCCGAAGGGGTAGACAGAGGTGCATGTTACAGCACTTAATGCCATTGTACATTTACTATTTATGTTGTGAGTCCCATGTAATAGGGGGTGAGCCTATTGCCATATTTACGGGCACACTTCCAAACTCTGTGCTTCTACTGAGAATTTTTTAAAACCCAATAATACTTTTCCCGACCCGAGACCCCTTGCCCATCAGCCGCACTTGCGACCACTTGGCCAACGAGGCAGTCAGATTGAAAATAATTAGCATTATATAAGTCTCAAAATCTTTATATTTATATTTTATATTTATTTATATAAAACCTTACCTAAACTACCATTACAGGTTTCTCCATTGCGATAGCTAGGCCTTAAACTAAATCTATGTAACGTCCAATTATAACAAAAATCTTCTGTATAATAACCTTGAATAACTTCAGTATAGCTACAAGGCCTCAATAATAAATAATAATATATGTAGTTAAGAATAAGTATAACGATTACGAGACCGGAGACGCAGAAGTAGCCAATATAAATTAACTGGGCAATTTCCTTATAGACAAGCTATACGTGGGACGAGATTCATATTACTTGAATTCTACCACAGCTTTGATAGAAACATTTATAAGTATACAAACAGCATGTGAAGCTACTTCAATCTTCTTCAATCAATTGTCAACTTTAATTCGAAGATGTGGAGGTTGGAAATGTATAAAAGTGGTTTAGAAAATTAGTGTATGTTGATGTGATGTCTGATTTGTCTTACCGAAGTTTAAGATAAATTTACTTGTAAAGACAGACAACATAATCTAGAAGATACCCTTTTCTAAAGGCATACTTCTTCAGTCGATTGTCAACTTTAATTCGAAGATACAAAGGTTGGAAATGTAATAAAGATGTTTGGGAAATTAGGACATGTTGATGTGCGACCGTCTTCTTTGTAGGCGCGATTAACGACGAGGTCATTGCACTTTCTGTTATGGAGGTATGTAATACAGTTTACTATGAAATTATTCATAGTTATTTTTGTTTAACACAGCTAATTCAATTGCAATACATAATAGGTAAGGGTTTTCCAAAAAATAATAAATATCTTCTAATTATATCTGCTTCGTTGGCCGAGTGGTCGCAATTGCGACTGCTGGGGTAAGGGGTCTCAGGTTCGATTCCCCTGTCGTGCAAAGTACTTCTGGGTTTTAAAAAAAATCTCAGTGGTAGCACGGAGTCTGGAATTGTGCCCGGTGTATGGTAATAGGCACACCCCCTATTACATGGGACTCATAACATAAATAGTGAAAAGTGGGTGTTACATTGTACAGTGGCATTAATTGCCGTAATGTGCACCTCTGCCTACCTCTTCGGGATAAAAGGTGTGATGTTAT